TGGCAGCCTGGAGTGTAGCACTGGGCGCAGGAGTGCCCGCGCCATCTTGGCGCGGCTGATGGCGTGGCGGACTTGTTCGCCCATTGTAAGGCCGCGGTCGATCCGGCAGCCCAGGTACGTTACACTCGGCTGCCACTCGAGTGTATGATAAAGGAATTTAAGTGGAATCGGGGGGCTGCTGTGCGAGCGGAAATGGATGGCGGCGGTCTTGCTGGCGTTCACGGCGATCCGCCAGCGGTTTAGCCACTGCGGCAGGTGGTTGAGCAGTTTTTGGGCTCTCTGCTGTGCCATCTTCACCGATCTGGACGACGCGAAGTACGCGCTGTCGTCGGCGAAGAGCGCCAGCGCTACATCACGTTCCCCTTCCCTAAGTTGGTCTGCGAGGGTGGGGATGTCGTTAGTGTAGGCGGCGTATAAGCACGGCGAGAGGCAGCTGCCTTGTGGGACCCCGGCCTGGATAGTGCGCGGCTGGGATTGCACGTTCTCGACCGCTACCGTGAATGTGCGACCGGACAGGAATTGGTTCAGTAGTTGTATTATGGCCTGTGGGATGTTTGTCGATGTGGAGAGTTTATAGATCAGACCGGTGTGCCATACGCGGTCGAAGGCCTTCTCTACATCGAGGAAGATTCCTATGGTATGATGCCCGGTGTTACGCTCCTGGGCCAATAGGTGAAGCACGCGAGTAAGCTGGAGCGTGGTAGAGTGGCCGCTACGGAATCCGAATTGCTCGTCCCTTAGTGGGACGTGCTTCCTATGTTGTCGGGCCCGGGGGCCTTGCGCTTGGGAAGGCAGCGCAGGGCTTTGAGTGTTTCCCTAGGGGATATGAAGTCCGTGCTCTTAAGGGGCGGGGGGGGGAGCGGATAGTGCCTCGATGACCTCGTGTTCGACCCTTCGGTGGAAGAGGAGCGCGTCGGTGTCGGAAGAGGGGGGGTGGGGGGTGAATTGCCCCTCTAGGTGGGTGGCGAAAGCGTCGGCGCGCTCCTGCGCACCGAAGCATAGCTTGCCGGCCGTGTTAATTAACGGGTACGACGGTTCTTTTGTACCCATTAATTGGCGGTTGAGGCGAAAGAGGTCGGCGGGCTTCCCGGTGGCCACACGGTCGATGCGGGCCTCCCAGAGATCGCCCCGCCATACCTTAACCGCCTCCGCGAGTTCGTTGGACGCCTTGTTAAGCCGCGCCTTAGTGCGCGGACAGCGCGTACGCGCCCACAGGCGTCGCAAGTCACGCTTAAGGCGCAGCTTATGTTGCAGGTCCCGCGGCAGCTCGTCCCTGCGCTGTGTCACGGGGCGGGGGGTGCTCGCCCCCTCCTTAGCCGTGTAAATGGAGTCGGCGATGTGAATGGCCGCTGCGTCTATTTCTAGGCCCGTAGAGAGGGGCCCCGCGAGCGCCAAGTTGCTCAGCGAGGCTGTATAGGCCTCCCAGTTAATTTTGGGAGGCGGTGGGCGTGGGATAAGTACTGAAGCCTGGGCACCGATCGTGATTAGAATAGGCAGATGTTGGGTGTTCATGTCGTAGAGCGTTTCCACACTGACTGGTGCGGGCACTCCATGGACTAGTGCTATGTCTAACACGTCGAGGCGGTGGCGGGGGTTGGTGGGGATGTGTGTTGGGCCGTCGGACGCCACAGCGACGGCATCGACCGAGTCGAGGGCCCTTTGAAGTTCGCTGCCAGCAGTCGACGTCGAGTGTGACCCCCACAGAGGGTGTTTGGCGTTGAGGTCGCCGGCTATGATAGCTGGCGTTGTACCATTAAATATATTGGTCAAATCCGAGGCCTCAAAGTGTGTTACCGGGGGACGGTATGCTGCGAAAATTCTGATGTCGCTGCCCGCTAGGTGCGTGCGAACCCCTATTGTTCGCATGAGTTCGTAGGCAGGCAGCTCCGGTGCGTCATGTATGACGTCGCGGCGGACCAGTGCCGCGACGCCGCGGTAGGCGCGACCGGGGGTGCGATGTCTGGCCACCTCCTCGTGGTGCACCCCGGGCAACGTGGCCGCTCAGAGGGACCTACCACTCTGAGCCGCAACGGCTGAGGCCAGACGACGGGGCTCGGCGGGCGTCCTGGATAGTCCGGGTAGCGGCCGCCGAGGGGGGGGGGTTTCTGGGGTTTGGGGCTTCTGTGCCCTCCGGCGTCTTATGCGTAGGGGGGTGGCAAGGTCCACCCAGGACCGAGTGAGGGGAGCTCATTCTGAGCTGAGAGGTTGTTCCGCGTCGGCGTCCTGGTGGTAAGCCGGGTAGCGGCGATGCGGATCGAGGGGCTCGGCCGGCGTCCGGGACGTATTCCCGGCAGCGGCGGCCGAGGACGTTTTTGGTCATGGAGCGTAGGGGGGTAGTAGGCCTCCTGAGGCCAAGACTGGGGACGTCGTTGTGGTAGTGTGTGTTGTGGCGTGTGCGGTTTAACCCGCGCCTGCACGACGTACTGACGTAAAAATGGCTCTACTGAGCCACCTCCGGCCACGCTCGTTATCCCGTACGTGGTGCGGGACCGAGGGCCGCTGCCTGCGGGTGGGGGCCAAGAGGAGAGCACCTCAATAAAAAATCCGAAGAGGGGAGAAGGAGAGAAGGAGTTTGGGGCAACCTCGCCCGTAAGAGGTAACTAAAATATGAAAGGTTCGCGAACAAAAATTGACGTACCTCCGGAGGGTACCTGACGGCCGGGAGAATCCCTCGCTGTGACCAGTGATGGCGCAAGCGCGTCAACACTGGTCACAGGCTGCCCACGCTCGGAGGAGGGCAGTGAACGACCTAAGGAGAAGCTGACTCCGAGATATAACAGCTCAGGAGAGAAGGGGGCCGCTAGACGGAAGAAGCGGCTTATCGGGGTGGTAGACACATCGCTAGAGCGAAAAGTCTCCCCCGAAGCAAAAATCCACGCCAGCGGCAGAAGATGGAAGACGCCCTCACGCGCCCAGGACGAATCCAGGTCCAGGAGCGCTAGCGAGAGAAGTGAAGGGGAAGAAAGTAAAGATGAGGGGAGCATAGAAAGCGAAGAGGAGGATAAAAATGAAGAAAAAGGGAAGAGAAAGGTTGAGAAAGACCAGAAACCGAGAGAGGAGGAAACAATAGAAGTCTCATCTGACGAAATGGAGATAGAGGAAACAGAGGAGAAGGAGGCATCCAAACCTGATGATCCCCAACCTGACACTACAAAAGAACTGACAGATAAGGATCTAAAATACAATGACGATATGGTGGATGCCATTGTGGAAGATGTGGAAATGTACAAGAGGGCGGCGATGGATGAGATCGGGAAGATCCGTCATGTAGGCGAAACCCTGATGACGAAAGATCCGAAGGCCCAGAAGAAGGTCCTGAATGCGATTGGCCAACTGGAGTTGGACTTAGAAGGGCTGCGCGATGTAACGTATGTCCCATGGATGAGAGAACTGAATGCGCACTACAGGAGCTTGAAGGCCGAAAAGCACCAACTGCTGAGGGAAATACAAGAGATGAAGGACAAGGCGGAAGTTAGAGACAAAGAAATATCTCGCCTTGCAGAAGAGGTAAGCAACCTGAGAAAAGAGGTGGAGCGACAGAAAGATCGAGAGTGGATCGTTAAGAACCGCCCACCACTAACCTCAAGTAAGAAAGCGGAGAAACCCCCTCCCAAGAAGAAGAAACCGCCCCCGAAAGAGAACGGGGAGGAGGGATGGGAGAAGGTTGAGAGAAGAAACAAGAAAAAGAGAGGAAAAGATAAGAAGAAAGAGGAAGCGACAACTGAGAAAGCCCGCCAAGCCACAGGGAAGGAAGCTCCCCAGTTGTCAAAGGAGAGAGAAAAAACAAAAAGGAAGAGAAAGAGGAATAAGAAGCCTAGGCTCAGAGCGCCAACTACTGCAGCTATTAAACTGGAGCTGAAGCCGGAGGCAGAGGCCAAGGGCATCTCATACCGGGATGTGGTGCTGAAGGCATCCCAGAGCATCCATCTTGGGAGAGATGTCGGGATAACAGGAGGAATGAGGAACCGTATCTCGGCAACAGGTGCCAGGATATGGGAGATCGAAGGAGAGGAGAGAGCGACGAAGGCTGACAAATTGGTGGAGTGCCTGCAGAAGGTCGTCGGCGAGGACGTGAGGATCACGAGGCCCAGGTTCTGCGTGGACATAAGAGTCACGGGCCTGAGTGATGGAGTGGACCAGGAGGAGCTCCGAAAGGCGGTAGCGGAGGAGGGTGGCTGCAGACCGGACCATGTGAAGGTCGGCCCAATCCAGCAGGGCTATGGGGGAATGGGTGTGGCACTCCTCAAAGTACCTGTGGAGGCGGCGAAGATCGTCACACGGAGAGGGGCCCTGACGGTCGGCTGGGGGAGAGTGAAG